GACTGTTTCCATGTTTTCACTTACAGTTTATGTGTTTCTAAATCTGAAATGGCTTACACGTAGGCAGTATATAGACTTGAGTCTTTTTAATTTGTCTTAATTCCATTCAGCCTCCCATGCATCTTTTAATTAAAGAAGTTCATCTGCTTTAAATTTAAAATAAATGTTTGTGACAAAATCTTTCACCATTTGTCAATTATTTTGACGGTTTTATAGATTTTTAAGTCTTCTTTGCATTTTTCTTCTGTGTATTTACGAAGGCTTTTGCTTTGTAGTTTTACATGAATATTACATGAAATATTTTATTATTAGTGATATATTTTAAGTTGCCAATAATCTAAATTTGATCACATAGAAAATTTATACACTTTAACTCTCTTGACTTCTGTTCCTAATGCCACGTTTTACAACATTTACACATTTTACATGTGTGTGTGTGCTTTAAGTGTTCTTGTTGTTGTCACAAAGTACCCAATAAGAGCAATTTAAGGAAAAGATTTATTTTGGCTCGCGGTTTGAGGAAAGCACAGTGGCAGGGTCATGTGGAAGTTGGCCACATTCTGTCCTTAGGAAGTAGATGTGTTAGTCACCTTCTGTTGCTGTCAAGAGGCACCATGACCAAAGCACCCTCTTACAAAAGAAAGCATTTAAATAGAGGCTTGCTCACAGTTGCAGACGATTTGTCCCTTATCATCATAGTGGGGAGTGTGCAGACAGGCAGGTGCCGGAGCAGTAACTGAGAGTTGCATCCTGATCCATAGGCAGAAAGAAGCAGAGAGAGAGACTGGGCCTGGCATGGTCTTTTGAACCCTCAAACCCCCCACACACAGTGACATACTTCCTTCAACAAGGCCACATCTTGAAAGAGTTACACTTCCTGGTGTCTAAGCATTCAGATACATGAGCCTACAGGGTCATTCTTATTAAAACCACAAGCCAGATGAAGGTTGACATTCCCCCAGCTTTCTCCTTCTTTCTGACACATCAGCTCATTCCATGGTGCTGTCCATATTCAGTCTGGTCTGCCCTGCTCAGTTAAACATTTCTAGAAAACATCTTCTTGGACCACCCAAGAGACAAACTTTCATGATGATTATAACCCAGCCAAGTAAACAGTGGATGGAGATTAACCAAGACAGTGTCTATTTACAAGTAACAACTACCACGACAGTGTCTATTTACAAGTAACAACTCTAGATGGCTTGAATACTTTTGCCTGCTAGCCATTATGTCAGAATTACAGGTGGTTGCATGCTGTCATGGTGGTACAAATATTATTCTGCACTCAATAGTATACTTAAGCTTTACCTGTGGTTTTTGTACTTTGATGTTACTAATTATGATCCCTTTATTTCATTTTTAAAAACTCCCTTTGGCATTTTTTTCTGTGATTTGTTTTGTGATTATGAAGCCCCACAGCTCTTACACATCTTGTAAAGTCTTCATCATGCTTACATTTCTGAAGAAGTGATTTATCAGATAATATACACATGGCTAGCTGTGTTTTCCTTTCCATCTTGCTGTGCAGGCTTAAAGTCAAATCAGAAAATAGTTTGCTTACTCTCATAATATTCATGTTGCATCAGCAAGCATGTCTTTCCAGGTCAGTCATTATTGTAGCTTGCAGGGTGGATATTTAGGAAAGTTTTATTTTTATTTTTCTTTCCTGGTAGCATACATAGCACTTTCTAACATGAAAGCAGGTCAGTAGAAATGAAGCTTCTATGACAGTACTAGCTTGATTTCTCCCTGCCCTATGGTGTTTGTAGCACTAGAATATTGCCATAAAATTCTGTAGGGTAATCTAGAGCAATAGCGATAGCCTGTCATGATCTCTGAAGGGTCTATGGGACCTCATTGACAAACAACTTAAAAGTAAATAACACACACCTAGCACTGGGCTTTTCATGTGATAGCCTTTGGTGTCTGGGGGAGACACTGTTTCCTCATTATAGTATAACTCCTTTAAATGTATTGTATATATGAATATGTATGTGCTTTAGGAAGGTTTTCAGTAGTATGCTGCCACTGGCATTTGGAAAGGTAAGTGATGTCAGTAATCTCTCCCCATGCTCATTCTTCCTCCCTGCCCTTCATCTCCCTCCCCATTCAGCCCTTCCTGTTCTACTACATTCTATCCCGCGATTATAGACAACAAATAATTACATCTTGCATTTCGATCCAATATGCTAATCTTCATATTTTAATTGGAGAATTATTATTATTAGGGGGTAGCAATTCCTGTGATTTTTGTTGACTTTTTTCTAAATTTGATTATTGTTTTTTGTTTGTGTTTTGTAGTTCCCTCTGTGTTGGGGGTTGCTGATTTGCTTGGTGTTTCATGATTGACTTCCTTCTAGTTGCCTTTTGTTAATCTATTTCTCTCATGAAATTTGTTCTTTGTTCATGATTACAATAATCTTTCTTCCTCCTCTGAGCACCTTGTTTGAGTATTTTCTGCAGAGCTGAGTTGTGGATAAATTGCTTTTTTTTTTTTTTTTTTTTTTTTTTTTTTTGCTTATCTTGAGATACCTTCATTTCAACATTGATTTTATAAAATAACTTGGAAGAATTTGTAATTTTGATTAATGATTAATATCAGAGCTTGAAATTTCCCTGGCTTTTAGGGTTTCTGTTGAGATCTTTGATGTTGTTTATTTGTTGGCTTTTTTCCTTACAGTTTTTAGTAGTTTAGTTAATAGTTTTAGCATTTTGACTATAAAGTGTTGTGGCAAGACTCTCCCTTGGTCATACATATTTATTGTTCCAAGTGACTCTTGATTTTGAATGTTCATTTCTTTCCACAAATCTGAGAAACTTTTAGATATAACTTTATTGAATGGGTTTCCTGTGACTTAAACTTTTATCTTGGCTCCTTGACCACGTACATTCTTGGTTTGGTCCCTTCATCTTGTGCCACAGTTTTCAGATGTAGTAGACATAATGGTTTTTCTTTCTTGTTTGCTATTGGGGTATCGCATTGCCTCAGCCTTGCCTTCCATCCCTGATAGCCTTTCTTCTCTTGAGCTAGACTATTGGTGAGGCTGTCCACTGTGTTATTTGGGTGGTGAGGTTTTTTTTTTCTAACATTTATTCTTTTCCGGATCTTATTTAACAATCATGTTGCAGATTTCCCTTCTACACTGCTAATATTCTTATCTTATATCCTGAATTGATTTTCTTGACTCATCTTCTTGCTTGTTTTCTTGAAGTCACTTATTACTTTTAGAAGTAGTTTTACTTTTATCCCCATGTCTATATTCAGTATCTTTAGATTTAGTAATTAAGAGTTTGTGATCTCTTAGAGGCGTCATGAATCCTTGCCTGCTCTTGTTTCTTCTGTTCATGTGTTGTAATTTGCCTACCTGCTTGAAATCTCTGGGTTTACTTGGTTATTATTTCAGTGAATAATCCCCAATAGATAGGAAAATCAACCACTTTGGGTTGAGGCTCCTGGTTCTGCTTGTCCTACTTCAGATGGGGTGGTTTGCTACTCTACCTCCACTCCCAACCCACACTACCATCTGTTTCTCTCACTTTCATGATTTCCAGTGCTCCTTCAATCATTCCATCTTGGAGACAGAGATTATCACATAGGCTGCTTCTATTCCATCATCAGGTACCAACCATACTACAGAGAGCGTTTTGTCAGCCTCTAAAAAAACAAGAAGCATTTAAATAGAATAGAATCTATGCTTTCATTTTGACTTAAAAAAAAATCTGACAATATTGGGACACCCTTATTATAACAGTGATCTCATTAGTGGAATGTGCTCTGATTTATTATTGACCCCAGCATGCACTTTGCTTTCTTCTTTTACCTACTTTCACCCATTGGAACCCTTGTTTCTAAGAACTTTATTGAAACCCAGTCATATAATTTTAATTATCTGTTTTATTTTCTTTGTTAGAAGCAATGGTCTTTACTTCAAAGAGAAATTTTGTCAGCCTTACCAGAAATAAAACCAGTGTTTTAAACCTTAGGAAATAAAGCTGTAAAGAAAATATTTTAACTCATAACCTTAATCAGTAATCACTCATTTGTATAGTTTTTTCATGTGCTATTTCCATTCCAGTTAGACCACATTTATATATGCTTTTTTCAATATATTATAAAGTCATGGCACAAGGATTTTATTTTTCTATATTAACCATTAAAATAAACATGTCTGGGGCAACGAGAAAGCTCAGTTTCCAAGCCAAATGACCTGAGTTTGATCCCTGGGACCCAAGTGGTAAAAAGAGAGAAATGACTCTCATGAGTTTCCCTTTGACCTACACACACATATACTGTGGCACATGTGCACCCCCCACATTTCTAAGCCATTAAAATGGCCATTATTATGTTTTTCATAAAAAATACTATATTGTTTTAATTACTAAAATCTAATATTGTAGTTCACATTGTCTTATTTTATTAGTCTAATAAAAATTACATAAATATAATATTGTAGTTAATGATCATTGATTTGCTGATCTCATATCTCTATTCTCCAGCCCCTTTGAGTATGATGTTTTTAAGACATGTACAGATGTAGTTTTGTTTTAGTAGTGTGTATCCCTGGCTGCCTGACACAGCAGAGTCCTTGTATGGGATTTAGCAAAATATATAACAGAATTCTTATTTGTTCTAAAGGTTATCATTCATAGCTCTTAAAAATTTATTCCCTTAGCTCATGTTTAAAAAAACTCTTCCCTTTTCATACTTTGAAAAAATATTCAATGATTTCCACTATGATGCATTTGACCTAAGATCTACTGTAATACTTAGTGGGTGCACTTGAAAGGATTAAAGTGCAAGGCCCCTCAGCAGGTACTCCTTTATGTTGTGTATGCAATAAAATAAGCATTACGTTTTAAAAAGTGATACATGTCTATACATTAAAGTGTACACTCTGGGGCAGTGTACACATGAACTGTAAATTTGATACAAACAACATTGGGTCACTCTTCCTTAGGAGAACCACTCTACTCTTTTTGCTTATGTTTTATTTGTCTAGGTGGGGTAAAACCTTGTGCTTTAAACTGCCTGGCTGAAGGTTACAATTTCTACACTGAGCGGGCCCCTGCAGTCATAGACGGAACCCAGTGCAATGCTGACTCGCTGGATATCTGTATCAACGGAGAATGCAAGGTGGCGTGGATTTCACTAATCTTTGTCTCGGCGTCTTTAAGAACTTCGTTTTGTTTTTGTTTTTCTCGGATAGGGGCTTGTGTTCTGTTCTATGTTCAATTTTATAAAGCTACATTTTAGATAAATGCAAATACAGCGAAGGACAACAGTACAACACACACACACACACACACACAGAGCCCAGAACAACCCATTCATATTATAGAACAATGCAAAAGATGATTTCTCCTGGAATTTTAATTATATTTATAATAATTGCCAAGGGTATAGATTTTTTGTCTTTAATTTGCATTATTCTCCTGTTCTGTTTATAAACAAAATAATAGAAAAAGAGGGGGGAATAAGAATTCAGCTTTTCTTCATGTGGCTACCATGTGTTCTTACTGGAAGACTTTATATATTTCACAGTATAATTTTTTTTCTCAAAGTGTGAAATAGCTATGTTCCACCTACTTTATCTCCTTTTGAAGCATTATGATGGTTTTCATTACGCAGTCAGTCTTACTACGGCATTTACTTTTGCATTAGCCAGATGACTTGGAAAGGGTAGGATCAAATCCATGGATCTTATCATAATAAGAAAAGCCACAAAACCACTGTTCTCATAACTTGTTTCGCTTGTTTTACTCTGAAGAGAAGCACATTACTAAGTGATACAAACTGAGACAGAAGAGATAAAGCTAGTGTTTTGCTTAGCTTCATAATTTCCAGGTTCCTTTTGATAAGTTGCCTTTAGATTCAATGATCCAGTTTATGTGTGTGTGGGGCACACATGTTTTTATATGTATGTATGCAAGTGTGTGTATGTGTGTGTAAAGAGAGAAAAAGAGATTTGCATTTACTTATGTGTATTTGTATAGGTACTTTTCTTAAAGTAAAATATTTTATAACAGTTTTTAGATAACAAGATATAATGACAATTTTAAAATTATATTTAGTATCAATGCCTAAATTACAAATGTACAAATTCAGGCACCAAAATATATGCCATATATATATATGCTAAAAATATCCTTATTTTTTAAATTAAAGACAAAATTAAAAAGTGGAATTTTAGGTTCTTAAATTGCATGCTTACAGCTCCTTTTTGTTTATGCCAATTTGACTCTCAAGAAACAAGTATTCATTTTTAAAAACTTACTCAGATATGAACTTCATAATTGGCATCTAGCACTAACAATTTCCTGAAAGAGGTCATGGCTAGGAAGGGCACACACTAGGGATCAGTTGAAAACTGTATTATATCCTTGCAGGGCATGAGCTCAGTGGGACCCTTTGTTATAGCCCTACAGAGGATGAGCTCAGTAGAGTCCTTATTGTAGCCCTGCAGAAGGCCATTCCTAGCTCTTGACTTTCTAGACTGGGGGTGAAAGAAAGAGTCCATTACTAAACATTACAATATTTTAAAGGGTTAGAAAATGATATCTATCAATCAAAGAGAGACTTAGTTTAGAAATAGTCATATGCCTAGGGAATCAATTTTTCTTTTTGTTTAGTTATTTAGAAATGTTAGCTAGAGAATAACATTACATGAGACAAATCTCCTATTTTGATTCCCTTTACTGGAAATACAAGTAAATAGCTACATTATATGTATTTGATTAGTTATGGTTCCAAGAGTTTCCCTTGTTGACACACTGACTGTTCTCTATTTTCAGCATGTAGGCTGTGATAATATTTTGGGATCTGATGCTAGGGAAGATAGGTGCCGAGTCTGTGGTGGGGATGGAAGTACCTGCGATGCCATTGAAGGGTTCTTCAATGACTCGTTGCCCAGAGGAGGTGAGTACGGTGAAAACTCTTCTTCTGGTGATCTGCAGTAGTGAAGAGTCTTGCTTTTCTTCTCTTAGATGCTGGAAACTTCCTTTATGTAGGCCAGCAGTGTCTTCTCCCAGACGGCCATCCTTTCAGTCTTTTACATGTTAAATGTCGCTTTGTGAAACTATTTTAAGGAACGTATTTTACTTCATTTAGCTTTTCTGTGAGGAGGTTTGTTGAGGACTGAAAAAAGCCTTTGACCATGCTAGGCAAATTGTTCTGCCACTGAGCTACACCTCCAGTCCTACGGGTTTTTGTTTTTGTTTGTTTTATTTGGTTTGGTTTTTAAATAGGATCCACTGAAATGACCCTATCTGCTTTTGAATTCCCCAGCATAGACAGACGATCCTGTCCTCCCAGCCTCAATGGGTAGCTATGACTGTAGCCATGTTTCTTTAAACTGTGATAACCCATAGAGCAGTGGTGTAAGGAGAGCCTGCTGAGAAAAGAAAGGTGGGACAGTATCACACACATCAAGGCTGTAAAATATCTTCAGGTGATTGCAGAAAAAAAGAAATTAGGCAGATCTCTATGAGTTCATGGCCAGCTTGATCTACAAAGTAAGTCACACTCTATCTCAAGCTCCCTCCTACCCACCGTTTGAACATTTTCTCTTCATAGACACACAGTTACAGTTATGAAGTACAAAGTCAAAGAAGAAATGAAAGAATAAAAAGCATTGCTAGTACTAGATGGCTACTACGTGCTCATTTTCTAGTTAGCTGCTTATTGCCAGCATTCATCTGTGTTCCAGGTTATATGGAAGTGGTGCGGATTCCAAGAGGTTCTGTTCATATCGAAGTAAGAGAAGTTTCCATGTCAAAAAATTACATTGGTAAGTAATTTTGCTAGATTATTTTTTTAATTAATGATGTGAAGGATCTAATACTGAAAGATGTTTCAAGATGCATCCATACACATATAAATACTAAGCAGAAAAATTAGAAGCTTATAGCTTACACTTCATTGTGTTGTTTGATTTTTAACTCAATACTATTGAAGTATAGCTTATGTAGAATAGAATACATAATGATTAACTATATAGTTTGAATATTATTAATGATCATATAAATGCTACAACCAAAGTGAAAACATTTCTATGATTCTAAAATTTATTGCCTTTTGCAGTTGAATTTCCTTCAGTATTCTTTAGAGTTTAGTTCCATAATCCCAACCTTGGTCTCAGGCAAACATTGATCTATTTTTAATTTAATTTTTATTTTTCATATCTGTATGGTATGCATGTTATAATAATGCATAAATATAATTTTAATATTAATATGACATTTGTTCAATTGTTGATGGATATTTGAAACATATTTATAGTCTTACTATTATAAATAAAGCTTCTGTGTATGTGCATGTGTGTATATGTGTACGTGTGTGTGTGTGTGTGTGTGTGCATGCAGGTACATGTCATTATCTCAAAGATATAAATATACTCCATGTTCATTACAGAATTATTCACAGCTGCCTGAGACCTGAACCCAGGTCCTCTGCAAGAGCAGTGCATGGTTTTTAACCATGGAACCAACTCCCTTCATTTCATTTTTAAGGTTCAGGTCTCAGCACCAGTGTTGGGCAGCTAATTACTGCCTGTACCTCCAGTTCCATGGGATCTAACACCTTCTTGAGTCTTGGGGTACTGCACTACATTCACAGACCCATACAAAACACACATAAACACATAATTCAAAATGAAAAAGTACAATATGGCTGCTCAAACAAGACCTGAACAATGATAATACCTGTTGACATCCCAACATAGATGAAAGAAGTAACCCAAAGCCTTGCCCTTAGATTAAAAGCTATAAGCAATTAAAAGCTGCCATGAGAGGGAGGATCCATCTTCTCCACAGATGGATACACTAAATGATCATCTAATCCCAAGTTATCATCCCTAAAATACACATACAAGCAACACTATACAGACTAAGCTGGTTGCGTTTATATATTTATTTGTATATATGTGTAGCAATAATAATAATTAAATAATAGAAAGGCATGAATTTGAAAGGGAGTGGGGGACATGAGGGGGTTGGAAGGAAGTGGGTGGAATTCTGTAATTATATTTTAAAATTGGAAAAACAGATAAAAAGGAAATCCTGCTATGGCATAAACAAACTCAAAGGACATTTTGGAAAATGACATAAACCAAACACAGACAGAGTTAGCTCTTCACATCATTTATATGTACGTTCTAAAATCTCATAGACACATACGTGTCTGATTACAGTCGGTCTTAGAAGGAGAGTAACAGATGGAGAGCTGTTGGTAATGAAGTATAAACTCAGTTATGTGATAAATAAATCCTAGAGCTATAACATACTATATATCTAATAAAAATGTGTTGTTGAGTGACACTATTCCTGATGAGATGTGAACACATATCTACTCACTACATATAGGGAACAGAGAACAGACCAGAGATAGACACTACCAAATCCATTTGGGGGAACCGTTTTTATCAGCATTACTTACAGGAATATGGGCGAGGGACTACATACAGGAACAGGGACTACTCAAAGACAACTGCTTCACCAAAGCCCAGCCCAGCATGGGTGACAGTTCTCAAAAGCTGGAAACCCAGAGCACACTGCACAGCCTGCGGGCAGCTCAGTAGTCTGGAGAGTCCTTTCGCAGTGGCTAAGTTGGTCGTTATTGATATTTTCAAGATGATTGGCTGGTCTCTGCCTCTCCCAGGTAGCTGGCCTGAGGCTTTGTGCCCTGGCTCATCTGAAAGTGATTCAGGTGGCCTTACAGTTTATGTGGCCTTGCGGAAGGCAGGGACTTCTCAAGTTATCGGGGTGTTTACTTCCTGGTTTAAGGAGCTTCCTGGGGTACTTCTCATCCCTTAGAACATGCTATTGCTCCACCTTTCCATTAATTTCCCGTTGTGAGAAATTTCTCTCCATAGTAGAAGGCCTTAATCTCAGGAGACTTCTACACAACAACTGCATGCTTGAAAACTTTATTTTCCAACTTAAATTATTATCATTATGTAACTCAATTTTTAAAGATAATTATTATTATCATTTTTAATTATGTATATATATCTGTCTGTGTGTGGGCAAGTGCATGTGGATATGGATGCCTGTAGCATCAGATCCTCTGAAGCTAGAGTTACAGACAGTTGTGAGCCATCCTATACAAGTGCTAGGAAGTGAACTTAGGTTCTCTGGGAGAGTGGCATTAGCCCTTAACCACTCTCCAGCCTCCCACTAATTTCTCTTTACACATGCCTCATATTTTGGGACCTAGTTACAAGTATTTGCTAATTTTAGTGGAGCTTTTATAAATTTGTGTTCTAGAGTTTTCGTGGATTGTTGTTGTTGTTGTTGTTGTTTTACATAGATCACCATGTCAAATTTGAACAAAGGCAGTTTCCCTTTTTATTTACAATCTTTATTATTGTTAGTCTTTTCTGTGTGGTACAAGGTTACATAGATGTGAGGATGCCCAACATCTCTTTATTAATCCAAACTTAAGAGAAAAATGTTCATTTAAAAAAAAACCATTAAATACAATGTTAGTGAGGAATTTATGTGGATGGCATTTTATTAAGTCAAGGATGCTCTGTTCTGAGGGTTTTAGTCATGCATGGCTATTGAAGTTCTCTGGATCTACTGATGGGGTTTAACCAATATTAACGTAATGAAAACCAGTGTCTTTGTTTGTTAAATCTATCTAGTATTCTTGGAACAAAAATATCACTTTATCATAATGTAGTATCCCAATTATATTGATGGAATTGATTTTCTAATATTTGTAAGGCTATTTAAACCCATGTTTTTTGTTAGTCTCTTGTTTTTTCATGTGATGTCTTTCTTGATATAAACCTGACCCCATAAAATGAGTTGAGAAACACTTTCCCCCATTTTCTCAAGGAACCTAGGGGAAATAGATATTATGTTTTAATATTGGATAGGCTTTAACTGTAAAACTCAGGTTTAAGTTTTCTTTATGGGAAGTTTTTATTGAAAAAACTGAGTTTCTGTAATTATAAAGTTTTTCAATTTATTGGCATAATACTATATATAACATTGCTTTATTATTCTTTAGATGTCTGTAAACATATAGACATCATTCTTTTCATTTTCTAGACTGTTAACTTGAATCTTTTATTTCTTTTTCTTGATCATTCTGGTGAAGGGTTTATTAATTTTCTGATATTTTCAAAGATCAGGATTATGGTTCAAATGCTTTTGTCTATTTCCCATGACAGCTGTCCTTATTCTTCTATTTATTAATGGCATTTTAATTTATTTTGTTTTAATTTGTTATTTTTGGTAGTTTCTCAATATGGAAATGTAGATTGTTGTTTTTTATATTATGAAATAAATGTTTTGCACTTTAAATTTCTCTTTAGTTTAATCACTTATTTATTTATTTATTTATTTATTTATTTATTTATTTATTGAGACAGGATTTCTCTATTTAGTCCTGGCTATTTTAGAGCTTGCTCTGTAGACTAGGTTGGTCTCGAACTCACAGAAATCTGCTTGCCTTTGCCTCCTGAGTGCTGGCATGTGCCATCACTGCCCAGCTAACCACATATTTTTAGGTATCATATTGTCATTATCACTTGTTTTTAAATATGTTACTTATCTTTAAGCAGAAATTACTCATTTTCTAAATGTGTTTTACTGTTGGTTTCTAGTTTAGTCCTAAACATAGAAACTACATGTACAAGATATTTTTAGAGGTAGGTGTGTGTGTGTGTGTGTGTGTGTGTGTGATATTTGTCATTAATATTTTATTGTGGCTCAACACATGTGCGATTAAGCAGAATGTATACTGTAGTGTTACTGAGCTAATATTCCATAAATCTAGTCAAATAGATTACAACAGTTGGATAGCTTTGTCCAATCTTATATATTTGTATTTTCTCCCTTCTTGGTTAAGTAGTAATTGCAAGAGTCTACTTCATTCATTTCTGCCCTTCCATTAATTATGTCTTTTGATCTACTGATTTGGAGTTTGGCTTGTTCGCACTTTTCCAAAAAAGATGTATTATGACATTTTTTATTTGAGATCTCTCTGATTTCTTAGTGTAGACATTTAGAACTCTAAGCTTCCCTCTGTCCTATTTTCGCTGTATCCCACAGGTTTTGGTATGTTATGTTTTCATTATAATCTGATTCCAGAGATATTTTTGTTGCTGTTTCCTTCTTGATTTCTTCAATGATCCATTTATTGCTCAATCATGTGTTGTTTGCTCCATAATTCTTACTGTTGATGTATAGCCTTAAATCCCTATGATCAAATAGAATAAAATGAATTATTCACTTGGTGAATTATTTTAAGTGTTCTATATTTGCTACAACTATTTTGTGTGCAATATATGATCTATTTTAGAGAAAGTTCTGTGGGATGCTGAGAATATCATAGAGTTTTTTAATGGAATATCTATAGATTTTGTTGAGATTATTTGATTTAAAATGTCATTTAATCCTAACATTTCTCTGTCTGGTATGTGGATGGAACTGAGACGGCCTATCCGTTGGTGAGAGGTGGATGTTGCTACACTACCATTGTGACTACATTAATCTGTGTCTTTATGTCTAGTGGTTTGTGTTTCATGAAATTAAACTTAGCTATTTTCAATTTATGTATGTTTAGAATTGTAATGTCTTCTTATTGGATCAATCCCTACGATGGTTGATATTGATTAGTTTTAAAGGATCTATAACCATCTAGGAAACAAGCCTCTACACGTACAACACATACATATGAATAATTATCTTCATTAGTTTCATCTCTGGTCATCCACATGAGGAATTATCTTGGTTAGATTATTGAGATTAGAAGAGCTATCATAATGTGGGCATTACC